TGACAGGTACTAGCGTTTTACAGGCTTTTTTTTGCATGACTCAACTTTACCAATGCGTACATGTGTTCTAAATAGCTGGAAGCATCTTTATTTCTTTGTCCTCCTACTGTTTTGGGTAACTCTTTGTCCTCCTACTGTTTTGGGTAACTTATGCGATCCTTTGTGACACACTCTGTATTATCTGTTAGTTTTTGTGCATTCCTAAATGTAACAAACAATACATTATTGTGATTCATTCCGGGGGTTATCATTTTATAGGCCTCTTTACCTGCCTAAATTCTATCCAAACCTAAACGTTTCCTTAAAAGCTTGAAGCATCTTTATATCTTTGTCCTCTTACTGTTTTGAGTAGTCACTGTAGTCGCTCGTTACACTCTCAGTATTGGTTAAAATCTATTAGTTTTGTGCATGCCTAGCTGTAACAACAGACACATTATTTTGTATTACATCAAGTACTAGCATTTTATAGGCTTTCAACGACTGGCTTGACTTTATCCAAACCTAAATGTGTTTTAAAAAGCTAGACGCATATATATTTATTCTTTCTACAGTTTGGAGTAACCTATACGGTCGATCGTTACACTCTCAGTATTAGTTATGATCCATCCGTTTTTTGTTCATGCCTAGTTGTATCAACCAACACATCATTTTGTTTTATCACAGGCCATAGCATTTTATAGGCTTCTGTGCACGATTAAACTCTATCTTAACTCAAAACGTATTCTGAAAAGCTCGAAGCATCTCTATTTCTTTTTCCCCCTATCATATTGAGTAACTAGGGCTGTCAGTCGTCACACTTTCATTGGTTAATATTAATTGTTGTGAATACCCCCACCCCACCCCCGGGGCGGTGCCACTGACTGAAGAGTCTTTAGAACATTCCCAAAAGGGAAAAGGGGGGGGGGGCATTTCTAGATCTAATGCACAGTAGAATTGTAAATTGGCTGATCTAACAATGTCATGCTCATAACTGTGCCTGAACTACAGCAGGAAACTGCTGCTTTTTCTTTCCTAATCTTTACTACTGTCATCATTTTCCTCTGTTTCTTTTGTCACACTCTTGTGACCTGCTATTTCCGGGGTGCCTTGATAGTCGAAGCAGACTGTTAAGGCTAGAGAGGTGAGCAGAGTAAGTCTGATTCCCTGTAAGGACTTCTCTGTTGACATCCACCCCTTGGCGCTCATATCACCTTATGCAGTTGGGAGCTCCGTAAAACCTCTACTAAACTAAAACTAATATTGTGAATGCCTAGACGTCACAACCTACGTATTATTGTGTTTTACCACATATGCTAGCTTTTAGTAGGCTTATTTTCTCGACTAAACTCTATCCAAGAGTACATTGATCTAAAAAGCTGGACGCTTCTTTATTTCTTTATCCTTTTGCTGTTTTTAGTAACTTGTGCCGTCGGTCGTTACACTCTCAGTTTTTGCGCATTCCGAGTTGCAACAACCAACACATTATCGTGATTTACCACAGGAGCTACATTTTTCAGGCTTCTTTGCCTGCCTAAATTCTGTCCAAATCTAAATATGTACTGAAAAGCCAGAAGCATCTTTACTTCTTTGTCCTGCAGCTGTTTGTATAAATGTGCGGTCAGTCGTTACACTCTCAGTATTGGGCATAATCTATTTTTTTCTCCCGCTTAGTTGTAACAACCTAGACATGATTGTGTTTTATCCCAGGTAGGCCTACTACTAGCTTTTTATATGCTTTTTTCCGTGACTAAACTCTACCCAAGCGTACATTTGATTTAAAAAACCTGGAAGCATCTTTATTTTCTCGTCCTCCTACTGTTTAAAGTAACTTGTGCTGTTCGTCGTTACACTCTCAGTATTGGTTATGATCTAATAGTTTTTAGGCATGCCTAGATGTAGCAACTAACATTTTTTTAGCAAAGGCGTAGCATTTCCTAGGCTTCTTTGTCCGGGTAAACTCTATCCGAACCTAAATGTGTTCTCTATGTAAAAAGCTGGAAGCATCTTTATTTCTCTGCCCTCCTACTATTTTGAGTAATTTGTGCAGTCGGTCGTTACATTTTACTACTGTTTATAATCTATCAGTTCTTGTGCATCCCTAGTTGTAACAACCAACACATTATTTTGTTTTACCACAGGTGCTAGCTTTTTTTAGCTTCTTTCTGCGGTTAAACTCTATCCCCGGGGGCAAACATTGTATCGCTTTATCCAGTTTTACAGCGTGTATGTGATCACATTCACGAATATTGGCTGATCTTTGACGCGACTGACAGTTTATTGATCTCAACTTTTCCCTCTTGTTTGATCGGCTGTGCCCGCCCGGGTTTTTGTTCCGCAAATTATGATCTGAAATGCGGGATCTTAGCCGAATGTAGACCTTGAAAGAGAATCAGAGCGGGATCTTAGGGGTGACTTTTGTATAGTAAAAATTCTGTTTTCTTAAAACAGCGGGATCTTAAGCGAACTGGGATCGTAAGCGGTGGGATCTTAGGTGGAGACTACTGTATCTTATAGCATTTTTTTTACACAGCTTAACTCTTTCCAAACCTAGATATATGTTTTGTAAAGCTAGAAGCATCTTTATTTCTTAGTCTTTCAACTGTTTCGAGTAACTTGTGTGGTCGGTCATTACACTCTAACTACATGTATTGGTTACAATCTATTTGTCTTTATGCTAGCATGTTATAGTTATAGGCATCTTTGCTCGGCCAAACTTTGTTCAAAACAAAATATGTTCTAAAAAAATGGAAGTTTCTTTATTTCTTTTTCTTCCGACAGTTTTGAGTAATTGGTGCGGTCGGTCGTTACAATCTGAGTATTGGTTATAATTTATTAGCCTTTTTTTCATGCCTAGTTGTAACAACCAAAACATTTTTGTTTTTTTTCCACACGTGCTAGCATTTTAAACAATAGGCTTCTTTGCCAGGCTAAACTCTACCCAGAACTAAAAGTGTTCTGAAAAGGTGGTACATCTTTATTTCTTTGTCCTCCTACTGTTTTGAGTAACTTGTGCTGTCGGTCGTTACACTCTCACTATATATATATACAAATATACATATATATATATATATATACCTCATTTCCTGCTCTCTAGCCATGTTCTGTCGTCTGCTTTCGTCTCCTCTTTCTGCCCCCACCCCCTCACCTCCTTTGCCCCTTCCTCTGGGCTCCTGATTCTTTCTGCAGCCTTCACTTCTTCTTACTGCTGTCTTTCAGCCACACCCCTGATCTTCGGGTAGGAAAGATCTACACCTAGCCTTCTTGGACAAGGGCGAAAAATCTCGGAGGGCCCGTGTGCAAGTTGCGGCAAGTTAAAGATCCCTTGGTGGTCTAAAATCGATAAGAGTAGGCTTCGGCCGCCACCCGGGCAAAATTCAAAATTTCCTACCAACTGAAAACGTTAGGTGTGTCCCGCACGCTCATTTGACCTTATGCAGTTGCGAGCGTTTATAAAAACAAAACAAAAAGCAAGTATCTTGACTTCCATTCCAGATGTATATATATGGGTGTTGTTGTTTTGTTTTTTTTTGTATTAAAAGCAAGAAAACAAAAAAGCAATAAAATGGTACCAAAAACTCCTTATGCCCAAAAATTGAGGAATGTCCGACCCCATCCCATAGGCATAGAGACACAAATGTGCTCACAATGCTACCAGCAAAATCTTTATTATATAAGTATAAGGTCTATTCATTTTAGATGATTTCCAAGAAGAAAAAAAAAGTAGCATCAGTGACCTAGTGGTGAGACTACCGGACCTGTAATTGTGAAAAATTTGAGTTTGGGGTTCGAGCCTCAGCTTGGTCCGATATTATGTCGAATTTGAATTTCCTATTTGACTCTGACCTTTCGGAGATGGACATTAAACTCGAGGGTCAAACCTCTTACATAAACTAATTTAACCCTTTAACCAAGCAAACAAGACTTTCTAGAATGGAAACATAAAAGAGCATCCACACAGTAGACCCCTGTTATTATCAAGACCTTGGAATACATGAATCAGAAAACCTCTCAATACATGTAGGCCATATTATTTGATGAAAACAGGTAGAGACTATATTTCATCTCTCTCTCTCTCTATTTATTTTTAAGTTTTCAAAGGTCCAAGTTTAATCACTTACACTACCATCTCTTTAAAACTTTATGATGTAATTTCATGTGGATGGAGGATTGACTTTGAAATTCAACTTCGCTAATTCCAATTGTCATCAAATTATATGTTGGGCCTACATATTCTTCTCAGCATACAAGGCCACATTTGCATATTCTTGCCTTTGATTTCATAGTTCAGGGCAGAATTATGTCTTTATTTCAAGAACTATTTAGTATGACCTATCTGAATACGATAAAAAGGTAAATATTGATGGATAAAAACTAAGTTATTTATAAGCTTTGAAAACAAAAGCTACGATTTTAAAAAAATAGCTAGATGCACTTAATTTCAACTTTTACACTAAAAGATAAGATAGGTTTAGTAATGGCAATACAGTGGAGTCCATTTAAACCGAAATCAGCGGGACTACCAGATTTTCTTGACTTTAGACAGGTTTTCAGTTAAGAGAGGTTGGTTACTCAAAATAGAATAAAATAATCGAAGATTTTATATTCGTTCAGTTTACAACTGTTTTCAGATTAATCATATTCAGTTTAGATATAGTCCACTATATTATACCCAGTAAGTAGAATGTCCACCATCAGATCGTCTTACACAGTATCTCAACTTTGTCAAGCAGACAGACTGAAATTTAATTACGTTAAAAAAGCTTCCTCATTGGAATCGAACTCACATCATTCGCATGCAATGGCAAATAACATAACCACTACACCACAGATGCTGGTATCACTCGTCTGAGAACCACTCTAGCTTTTCGCTGACTGGCTCGAGAGTATGGGAAAAAAGGGAATAGTGGTTTATAATCTTTGCTTTATCCAGAGAGATACCGCCATTATTTAGTAGTTGTAGTAAATGAATACAAAATATTGTTTAAACTCTACATGCTCATAAACAAGACATTCCTATTAACTAAACAGATATATAAATCACATTTATTTCAAGGAAAAAACCCAACATAGATCATGTATCTATTATATCAGCAAGCGAGGAAGGAAAAATCAAAATTCAAAATTAGCTGCTTAAAACAAGGGTGTCAAACTCAATCACACAAGTACAAGGGACCAAACTCAAATAACACAGTTATCAGTGTAAAACCCATTTTAACTCATTCGCTACTGCGAGCCGTGGGCAGCGGGGCGGCTTAAGCGACAATATTTACATTACGGTAACCTTCCCCTGACGGCTTGAGAACCGACCTATAATTCTAGCTTAGATTCTATTCCAATCCACATATCCATATTAAAATAAAGATATATTGTAACGTTCACTTTCGGATCAAGCGTTTCCACCCAAACTCCCGTTTTGATTCAGTTTTAAAACTTGATTTCGAAGTTTATGAATCTCAATACCCAAATTATAGCCCAGATACCAGTCTTAGTACTTTAACAAGACAAAAGGTATCATTATTTTGTTTACTAATGAAAAGTAGGCCTCTTCATAGGAATATTGATGCTATATTGGTAAAGTGGAAAAACTCAAATTGCCATTGCTCTTTATTGACAAATCAATATTTTTCAATGCTAAAATCTAGATCTAAATTGGCAAAAAAAATTTCCCCCCAAAATCAGTATTTTTCAGTAGTATTACAAAAATATCACTCAAAACATGTGTAGTTTTATTCCAAAAGCAATTCTGAATAATTCTATAAGATACGTGTGTTTTGTACTCTTTGTGAAAGTATCTTGTCCTTTTTTCCAGATTATGTTAAAAAAATTTTTTTTTTCATTTTCGGATGCTATGATCCAAGTGTACAAATTACGTGGAATGTATGTAAATAATTGCAAATTTTTCAATATTTTCTAGTTCTATATTCATTTATGGTTATTTTGATGTAGGTCTATCATTTGACTACGCGCAAACACATTTTTTGGTTTTCACTAAAGATGATTGATTCTTAAAAAAATTTAATCCGCATCCAAGCAAAATTGTGTTACACAATCACTTCTTACAGGAACCAAAGTAAAAAAATACCCAAATAAACAACACATATGTATTCAACAAATTAGACTGAAAAGGTTGGAATATAATATCATGTTGAGAATTTTATAAATTTAAGGCCTCAAAGACCTGTGAACTACGCACTAATCATCATCTCATATTGCCCTCCCCCAAAAATTTGTCCAGGAGCTCAAAATAATACGTAGCGAATGAGTTAAACAATGATGCAAATTAAAACAGACAAAAAGCTAAAATAGTTACAAATCAATGTTTAACAATTTCCACTCTCATGCCAAATTTAGAGCTGGATGTTTGGCATCTTTGCTTAGCAAACTAGTTTGTTTATGTTTGAAATAAGGTTCTGTGTTATAGAGAGATTCTCAGGAAAGACTACCTAAAATTCTCTTCCGGGCCAGAAATAGTTGTTTGCCAGGCCGGATACAATTGTTTGGCGGGTCAGATGCGGCCCACGAGTCCTAAGTTGACACCTGTGACCTAAAACATGCAATGAGATAGAAATCAATTGTCTTTATCAATACAGACAAAAAATGCTGTTGAACACAAAAGCTGTTAAACACAAAAGAAATAACAATCTCATTTAAGGCATCTGTAACATTAAATTTGGCATTAAAGACCAACAGTCAAAATACAAAAAAGTATTTTTCATCAAAGGTGTTGGGTAAGTTACAATTAAATGTTAGCCATCTAGCCATCCGCTAAAAAAACCAAAACATTTTGCTCAAGTCATTTGTTTGATACAGCTAACAACTACAATCATTTGGTCATATTCTTTGGTATTGCTCACACTATTACTGAGACAAAAAGGATGTATTTTATGTACAGTCAGAACGGACGACGTCTGGTTTCCAGCTGATCATCAAGTGACCGGTTTGTTATAACATATTTTGTTTTGATCAAGCCTGGAAAAAAAAAAATGAAATGACAACGGCGAGCACTGTCTGCACATCATCATATCACATGTAATGCAATCACGGTAAAAATACTTCATTTGTATTCTTCAAAATACAGCATGAAAAAGTTACTCTCGACTCGTTTAATTTATTTTGACATTCTGATTCCAAATCTGATAATATTTTTACGAAGGGACATAGTTTTTCTATAAGCCTATAAACAAATATGTGATCATCTAGCTGCAACAAACACCAGGCTTACTTCAACTTTAGCACAGCCTAATTGAGACAAGACTGGTTTAGAAGAATATGGCACAAATTTGTCAGTGTAATCTGTTCCTTTTCATTTCCTTGCAGCTGTCTAGAAAATAAAATTTAATTCTGCCACTGCCAGTCATATATGGACAGCATGGTGCAGACCATTATATTATTGAAGATGCTATGCACAAGTGGCCTGCACCATCTCTATGAGTTAGCTCAAGTGGCTTCAAATACAAAAGCAAAAAAATCTACAGCATGGAAATCAAACAAATAATTCAGAATCAACAGGTCATCAAATCACAGTTACAACATTTCAGCCAGAGACCTCTAGAAACAAAATGTCAGGCTACGATAAATGATGGTATGTTACAGAGAAATAGTAGAAGATTCAGTCAGGATTAATAATAATAATAAAAACATTGCAGTATTATCTTTGCAAGCAGCAATAAGAACTTTGCAGATACCTGTGAAAAATACAAGTTGAAGCTCGTCGGTCCTTATATGAAGAAAGAGCAACAAAGCAGCAAGTAACAGCCAACATGGCTTTGGAAAGAAGCTTGTTTCTTTGCCCATCAAAGAATTATTATTGACTAGCGATAAAGCAAAGCAAAGTGAAAGCACTGATGAAAATAGAAGCATACATCCGCAAAGAATAAGCAATAGCAATAATAGACGTTAGCTTTTCTCACCTAAATCAGCACAATTTAGATCTTTTTGGAGGCGGGCTTCAACTACCCTTGCCCATCATGGCTAAAAACTGGCTGAGTGGGATACAGCATCTCAACAGACAGGAAATAATGCTCGCTACAAAACTTTTTCAAACAGGAATCAAATCTTTCGTGTGCAGAGGCGAAGAGCCTCACCTGTACACCACAGAAGACACCACTTTCGGTGGTGGTGGTGGTGGTGGGGGGGGTGGGGTGGGGTTGGGGGTTGGCAATAGTGTGTAAGTCATCAAGAGTGACAACTCGCAACCATGAGGTCAGAAACCAAATGTTCTATCTGCTTTATCAAAATCATTAGATTACTTTGAATCATTGTCAAGATATTCAAACAGTTTTATTTTAAAAGTTTGACCTAGTAAAATTCCAAATTTTTAACTTCAAATTTCTCAAAAACTAGGTACTGAGCAGATCGAACTTTGTAATTTTATAGTAGCGAACTGTCTACAATTATACAACACAGCAAGACATTAACTTACAGTAGGTTATATCCTCTGGCTTAACCAGACCATTTCAGTTTTGTCCATATTCTGTTTGTTCACAGGATATGTTCCGCTATGTCTTATCAACATTTTTCTCAAGGTGGGATGTTACAAATTTACCATTATCACATCATAAGTCAAATGAATTCTGAATAGTGGATAAGCACTAAAGAACTCATTAATTCAAAATCTGCAATTCAAAAAGAACCCACAGTCAGACTCATACAGTGTTCTACATGTATTATAAAACAAGATAAAGTCAAACTAATACATTTATGTACTATATAAAAGCATTCAGTCTAAATAAAACAGCCAACTTTTGTATTTAAAAAAACCCACAGTCAAATTAAAACAGTCTTCTAATCTTCAATTTCATAAAACATATAGTGGCACTGATATTGTCTTTTATTATCAAAAACAAAAAGAATCCAAAGCCAGATTTGTCTATTGTTCAGGACCTTTAGTCAAACTCGTACAGTAGTCTATTGTGAAAAAGCATATCACAGTTCGACTCATATAGACTTTTATCATTAAGAACATACAGCCTACAGGAGAGTCTATTGAGAATCATCTCAGAAAGGAAGAATTACATGCTTTGCCCTAAGAAATGGTCCAAGATCTTAAAACTAAAGAACTAAAGCAAAAATAGAAATTGTACTTGACACACAGAGGAGAGTGTTGTAGAAAGAAGAATTTAAAAGGCTACAACATATGTAGAAAAGATGCACTTCAAGAACCTACAAGTACCACATACGTTTTTTGTATACAAGTTGATAAATACAAGATTTGTACAAAGTAAGAGGGAAGCAAAATGAAAGTGAGTAATCTACTGCACTGCTACACATGTAACAAATACACACTAAGACTCAGTTGAAGCCAGGTGTTTGGTTTTGCTTTTATTACCTGTTCTCAGCCTGGTATCTTTGTCAGCATGGCCATTGTTGCAATACAAATCGTACAATCATTTCCATCACAAAAGTTTGCTAGATTAAGCTGATTTGCCACATTTTCATTCACAAATACTGGGTATATATGAATACTGTTTAACATAAGATTTGTCCAAAATATCTTTGCTTAACATAGAACTTTGAAAAGAGCCAGCTAGATTCCTTGTGTCCCTAATCTTGACAACTCCATGGATCAAATTAATCAAACAATCCTTCACCTTAAAGAAATTCCGTAAAAGATTGATATGATCCATCGTCTTACAAAAAGCAGTAGATGGATTCAATCAGCCTCCCATTAAGTATAGAACCCATGGATGACAGAGTCAAATTAACCTCTATCTTAAAAGAATCTACAGCAATCCATTACAGAATGAATATGATCCATCATCAATTTAAAAAAAAATTATAAATCAGTGTTATCTTAAAAAAACTGCCAGCTGCATTCAGCCAGTTTTTCATCTAGAAAACAACCCACGGATGGATTCCCACACTCCTCCCTCAGAGGTATCTGATCAAAAAATTCCAGAGTCTGGACTCCTGCTGTCTTCCTCTGTCTCAGTTTCTTTGAGGTACTCCACTATGTCACTCATTTGCAGCTCTGTGGCCAACTGTTCGTTCAGAAGTTCGTTCACTGTGGCAGGGTCATTCAGCTCTGATATTATCTCAAGGTTACCGGTATTCGAGTTATTTTGGGCGGACAATAGCTGAAGAATTGTGTTCGCGTCCAGAGTGGTCATCATGTTAGGATCTCCAATCTGCAAGGGAGAGCTTGTGCTGTAGAGGTTGTTGGCACTGTTGTCTGTGGCATTCTGCGACTGAATGTTGAGATAGGGCACTTGGGTGAGGTTTCTGCTGGTCGCCTGACATGTCGGTAGCTGTTTTCGGCTTCTCCTCCTGTGTGGTGTCTGCTCTTTTGCTTCCGCCAGCACAGTGGGGACATTTCCTAACACGCTACCAGAGGCACCGCGTTGGACAGCTGTATTTCCTTGAGACATGAAAACTGTTGTAGCCATCTCCCCCTGATCAGGCATGGTTGTCATCTCGCTAATCATGACGCCATTCTGATCGATAAATTGGACAGAGAAATTTCCAATGGACATACCAACAGTATTCAAATCAAAAGCATTTATACCGGCTGGGTAAACGCTGGGGGGGACAGACATGGGAGGAGGTGAGAACTGCGTTTGGTTCAAATTCTGTGGGATCTGTGTTCTCCCCTCCATTCCCTGAGCAGTTGATAATGTCTTTCCTCTGGTCTGAACGGGAAACTGCTGTGTCGTAACCACCTGAACCTCCTCCGTATAAGCCGGTGGTATGTTGGACAAGTCTACCTGAACATTCCCAAACACCTGCAAGTTCTGGGAGACAGGCAAGGACTTGGAACTCACAGGAACTCTCTCAGGATCAGGAGATGCTGAAACAAAATCAGAAGAGAATGCGGCTAGCATAATTACATAAAACACACTCTGGCAGCTACTTAAAGATAAATGTCACAATTTGTAAGCTGAAAATATAATGAAAAGGAAATAGCTAGCATTACTCTCTGGAAGCAACTTGCGGATAATTTCGCTGTACTGGTGAACGGAGGGCAAAAGACAGGTCTCACTATCCAGTCAAGTGATGGCAACACAGATGATAAAAGAGATTGACAGACACAAACAACCGAGGGGGAAATAAGAAGTAGGACTCACTGGTAGCGCCCTCTAACCAGCTGCACATGACTATAGACAGATACACACTTGAGCATTCCAAACACTTAGTGTGGGTAGAGAGGATCACACTGACACAATAGCGGTCATTAAATGCAAAGAAAAAGCAAGAAAGACAGACAGACAAAAAACAAGAGGGGAAAAAAAAAGAATCCTAACTCACCAGTGGTACCCTCAGAACATCCATGCATGATTTTGGACAGATATACAATCGCTTTCACATTTAACTCTGGCTAAAGTAAACAGAGGCAGGCTATGGGTTAACTGTGAGCAAAATTAAAATCGGAAAGTTTAGTTTTGGTAAAGAGTTTTTCGGCAACACAAATGAGTCATAAAAGTGCCAAAGACGAAAGGTGTTAATGGAGACTAACATGCAAAGAAAAGAAGGAGGCGAGATAAGGACAATAGACGTTTGATAGGGAAGAAGGAGCTAAACCCATCGGAGCACCCACCAACCACCCAGAAAAATAAGATGACAATAACGAATGCCAAGAGAAAGTGGAAAGTGGAAAATATCATCTTAGCTAAAGAGACTACAGCTCAGCTTCAGAATAAATCCCCCCCCCCCTTCCACAAAAATAAATCTTCGCAAAAAAAAGCACAGCGGTAAAAGTAAAATTGAACCAGTCTCGCACACATTGACAATCACATTCCGATGTTTCCTGTAAGACAGATCACCAAACACACTGTGACCTCCACAATACCCCTAGATTTGCATACTAAGTTAAATCAGTTCTGAATGAGGATAAGGGCGCAGGGTGTGTGTGTTTACCCAGTTTACTTTTACTGTCATACTTATTCAATGACATTTTGGCTCGATAAAATACTGTTTGCTTGTTTTGTTTGTTTGAGTAAAGAGAAGCACATAGACACAACAATGGTCATTTAGCACTGGAAAAAGTAACACAGACAGACAGTAATATCAGAGGGAAAGTAAAGAAGTAGGACCTACCAGTAGCGCCCTCCAACCATTTGTGATAAAATACTGCAGCTGGGATATACATGTATTTAATAAAATACAGCGGAGTCCACTTGAACCAAAATAAGTGGGACAGCTGGATATTCTTCAATTTGCCAGGTTTTTTATTCAGAGAGGTTGCTCAGAGAGAAAGAAAAAAAAAATCGAGGATTCTATTTTCTTTTAGTTTCACTAGTTTTCAGATCAACCATGTTCAGTTTAAGTGGACCCCACTACTGTGAACTTCTAGCCAGTGCAAGGAGACTCTAATTGACTAGACCTAGTCTTTTATTCAAGTTAGTTTTAGTAACTTTTACAGCACTTGCAGCACAAATAGGTCATACAAGTGCCGACTCCCAGAAGTGTCACTAAAGAGTAGGACATTTATAGAGGAGAGATAAAAGGATGATAGATGTTTAATCAGAATAAAGGAGCAAACCACACCGGAGCACCCATCAACCACCCACACAGTCTAGCGTGATTTGGATTGTCCGGCACTCTAATCAAAGGTGCTCGGGTGCATGGTTCCTGTAGGTTGGGGGGGGGGATTTGTCACATAGTTGAGAAGTTCAGCGATGTTATTGCATGGCATCAAATCCATCACTCTCTACCCCCCACAGCTATACCCCATCAGAAAATAATAGTTTCAAGCACTCTTGTGTAAAGAATATCTATCGAAGATTCTTTTAAAAACCAGATGCTTTCTTCAAAAGTGCCCCAACTCAAGTTTCTGTCCTAAGAAACGATGCCTTTTTGGGATTCTCCCGACATGAACCTGATAAATTCTCGAAAAACTGATAAAATAATTCAAGGGCATCATAGAAAGCAACAAAAAGGTTATGCACAGCAGGGGGGCAGGCAAAAGTTTAGCAGTCAGGCAAAAACACAAGCAGAAGCACAATGCAGACACAACCGAGAGACAAACTATAATACAATCTTGGCACAACTGAGAGATAAGCTAGCTATATTAAAATTCTACACCAACTGAGAGATAAACTACAATACAATTCGGCAATTCTACACCAACTGAGAGATAAACTACAATGTGATTCTGCAACAAATGAGAGATAAACTACAATACAATTCGGAAACAACTGAGAGATAAACTACAATACAATTCTGCAACAAATGAGAGATAAACTACAATACAATTCGGAAACAACTGAGAGATAAACTACAATACAATTCGGAAACAACTGAGAGATAAACTACAATACAATTCGGAAACAACAGAGAGATAAACTACAATACAATTCGGAAACAACTGAGAGATAAACTGCACTGCAATTCGGAAACAACTGAGATATGTATATATATGAAAATACATTAAACTGAGAAAAAAAAACACACATTGACTCAATCATGGTCATGAGGTGTGTGGAGGGGGGGGGGGGGGGGAAGCAAGGTAGAAAGACAGAAACAATAGAGAGTAAAGAAAAGAAGTAGAACCAACTCGTGGCGCCCTCCAACCACTCATGAATAGAGAAGAAGAGGAAGACTGCGTGGTTGAAAGTGTATAATATAACAGTAGGAGCAGGAACAGGGAAAAATCAAGAAGGGAGAAATTGATGAAAATTATCATGATCACCATTGCTAGTTCATATTCGTGAATTTCATAATTGGAGACAAATTTCAGAACAGAACACAGAATAACAGACTGAATATTGGTTGGTGCTCGATTATACCTGGTGCACATTGCAAAAAGTTTCATCAAACAAAGCTCAATTCAATACGGCACATTTGAAGGAGGCTTGGTTTGCTTTCATGAAGGGGCAAAAGCATTCTTTAGTCAGTTTGATTGCCTCCTCAAAATTCAAAGATGTTTCCTTTTTGAGGTAACAATTTGATAGGTTTGATGAAATCAGCCAGTCATAAGACGTGTGCATCAGATATTTGGTTTGCACATGCAATCAGCAGAATGCCACAAGCCTTAATAAATTTCCTTTAAAATGGACTTCTGTCAGCGTCACTCCACAAGCACCTCATTATTTTTCAATTTAAAAAAAACGGAAGTACACAACCATTGAAAACAAAACTATTTTGTAAGAGGCTCCTTGGTGTCTTTTTATTCATAGAACGACTTTATCTGGAATCCACCAGATATACATTTGAGTAGCTGTGGACTGACTCTGATGATTTGATGCAGTGTGCACTGGCCAGTGTCATTACACCTGACCCAAACCAATCTGATCTGATCATGCATTTGACCATTAGACCAAAATCAAAATAATGATGTCGATGAGAAAGATGAAAGGCTTATGTTTATTTACCAAGTGAAACGGCATCGCTTCCATCTACCCTAATCTGATCTGATCATGCATTTGACCATTAGATCGATGGGCATAAAATCAAGAGAATAATGTGAATGAGGAAGATGACAGGCTTATGTTTATTTACCAAGTGAAGTGGCATCACTTCCATCTACCACACCACACTCGGCTCTCGGCGTGTTCTCGGGGCACGCAGACACAGGGGTGCTGGGTTCACTCTTTAGGACAGGAGAACCAGTAGAAGAACCCTATAGAAGAGACCAATGGAACTGGTACAGTCGAAATTGTCCAAGACAGCCACCCATTGACGAGAACAAAAGTGGTTGTCTTTGACAGGTGGACATCTTGGACAGGGTCATTATGACGCAGAAAACATGCAAGGGGAAGGGGGCCAGGTTGTTTTTACGGGTGATAATCTTAGATCGGTGGTCGTTACAGTAGGTTCGACTGTGGTACAAGACAAGTCAGAACAGCAATTCGTTTATAAGGTAGTGCGCGGGGAAAAAGCAAGAAAGATAGACAGAAACAATAGAGAGGGAAGAAAAGTAGGACCCCCAGTGGCACCATCCTACCCAAACGATAAAAGGGAGGTCTGATTGTATAGACTACAAATGTTTTATGCCTCTATTGACACATTTAGATCATTTTGGGAGCCAAGCCCTGCCTGTTGGGGCCAACTCAGGCTGAGTGAGATAGAGCATCCCTTTTAAATCACTAATCCAAGTCGCACATGAAAAACACCCATAATGCATTATACAAAGAAGGCAAAACGCAAGAGATATATATAATACAGGGTAGGGTAACGATTGATTTATTCCATTTCTGTAGGTGGTTTCTCAAGGCCACGTCACTCCCCCATCCCCCACAAGACAATCCTTAACATTCATAGTTATAAAACATCAAGAAAATATTGTGCTAAAAAAAAACTACGAGCATAAATAGAACCCATCCAGGACCATGAACAATTCGCATATCGTCCTGGAAGAAGTGTGGAAGATGCCATTCTACTATTTTTTTACAACAATATAGACACTACGACAAGCCAGAAACATACTGTAGGATCCTGTTTGTTGATTTTTCTTCAGCCTTTATTACTGTCCAGCCAGCTATCCTTTTAAAGAAATTAGAAAACATAGGTGTTAACGTCAATTTAATATCATGGATAGGGAATTTTCTTATCAACTGAACCCAAAAAGGAAAATTAAACCATTCCTCATCAACACACATCATAACAAATACAGGGGCCCCTCAAGGATGTCTTTTGTCACCAGTTTTATTCACACTATACATGGACCATTGCGAAATAAAAATCAGCAACATTAAGTTGCTCAAATTTGCGGATGATCCAACTATAACTGGGCTAGTTCAGGCTGACCATAACGAAACTGCTTACCGGAATTTCTGAATGGTGTGAAAATCATAAGCTGCTTTTAAAAGCGAAAAAACCCAAAGAACTTGTTGTTGACTTTAGGAAAAAGAAACTGCCCCTGCAGCTACTCGAAACTAAAACTGAGAACGTTAAACAAGTGTCAGATGATATGTATTTGGGTGTTACAGTAGACAACAAACTCAACTGGCGGGTCCACACTTCTCTCCTACATAAAAAAGTGAAAAAGAGACTATTTTTTCTCTCCGGAAACTCATGTATTTTAAAGTTGATAAAACATTGATGTCCATATTCTTTTATTCAACCATAGAAAGTATGACCAATTTCTGTATATCAGCATGGGCCGGGAACATAAGACAACAAGATAAAGAAATATTAAATCAATTAATACTGAAGGAATGAAAAATTTTAACATCTACATTCTCCTCCTTGGATGAATTGTCCATTACAGCTTGCACTAAAAAAATTAATTCCATCTTTTTGGACAATAAACATCCCTTGTTCCCTAAAATAAAAATATTAGTGAGAAGTAAAAGACTAGGCTTTTCATCTGTAACAAAGAAAGACACAGAGTGTCATTTTTACCATCATCCATCAACATTCTTCCATCTTAACCATCTTGTTACAAGTATGCATACGACCTTAGAGCATGAATCAGAATAACATCGAGTCACAATCAGAATACTGAGTATGTATCTTGCTTAACATTATTATTGTTTATATTACTGTTCATTTATATTATGCAGATATGTGTGCATGTGTTTACCTGGTGAAACACCAAACCAATGTGCCAGGATCTGGACAATAAAGATGTAACTTATCTTATTATCTTATGTTATACAGACAGAGATACTTGATAAAAAGATTTCACTACATGGGAACTGAACTCGTGTGATTTGCATACGAAGGCAGAAAGCATAACTACTACACCACAGACGCCAGTAAGGGAAGTGTGAAGAAACCAAAAGCAATAATAAAAAAACTGTTCGACAGTCTTTCCTTGCCCGCCTTTTTTTATTTTGGAGTTCCATTTTGAATGCATGATTTGAGTCATCCAATGCATTGTATTCCAACATAACCAAGTAGCATCCCTTTTAAAACTTCACGAACGACTTTCATTTTTGCAAATATCTTTTTAAATCGCTAATCTCAGTCGCACATGAAAAAGACCCGTAACGCAATCCACAAAGAAGACAAAACTCAGAGATATAATACAATACAGGCTAACGATTGGTTTATTTCATTTCTGTAGGTGGTCTCTCAAGGCCACGTCACTCCCACATCCCCCACAAGACAATCCTCCATAAATTCTTGGGCCAAACCCACCAACTGGATCGGTACCTAAATACACAGAGAAATGTCCTCATCACATCCAAAATTGTTTTCCAAAAAATAAATTGTATCATTAAGAATAAGAGCAATTGAACTCCACTTTTAGCAGTTTCAAGAAAAGTGGGACTTTCTGCTTTCACAAAACTAGAACTAAGAATTCAATTTTCGGTTCCAATTTGGAGAAAATCCTATTCAAAAGCAGCTCTAAGACTAAGACTAGACCTTTGTTAAACTAAGAGATGAAACAAAGATTTATTTTATGCACAGCGCTGAAAACTGGCCAAAATCATTCCCCTTCGTGGTCACTGCCTGCTCTGTTGCGCATCAGTTGCAGGAATGCAGGTCATGGCGTCACCTCCTCACTCTAACCACGAACTATTCCATATAAAAAGAGAAGAGTAAGATTTCCCCTCTCAGTCTGCGAAAACTTGATCTCAATGCGATGATATTTGCCGATGTTATAGAGTGTGCAAAATGTTCAGAATTTCAACAAATTTAATCTGTGTGCTGCATTTCATTCATTTATAATTTCCAAAGTTCCAGATCAATCTCAACAAGTTTTGGTGCAGGCACTGACGACATATTTGTGTTTCATGTGTATAATTTCCATAATTGTGGGAAGAACAGTTGCAGCAATATTAAGTCACTTACATCCGATTCTTATTCAGTGCCTTGTTATTTGGCTCGTGCAACAATGTATGCTGGATTCTATGCTGTTCTGAGTTCAACAGTTCTCTGCTAATTTCATAGATCGTTATTTATATATGAAAGGAAGACATATTTGTGCTTAATGTGTATAAATTTCATCTTTGTTGATCAAACCGTGTTATGATAGTAAGTAGAATCCATTTGCCCCTGATTCATTTCTAACAAGTTTACTGAAATCTCCCAATGGAACACACACTTGAGAGACATACCTTATTGCTGAAGTTTGTCGCGTTTGCGGGTGTAAGAATGTGACTAAAATACAACAGCGTCTGAAAAGAAAGGCTAGGACATAATGTGAGTCACTGCAGAGTGACATTTTATTAATTTATGATATTGACATTAGAGAAGACACAGATGACAAATATTCGAAGTTTATTTATCACAAATAATGTCACCCGAGGACCTATGACACTAAGAAGACACCCCATCTACCCCATCCTTACACAAACAAATGTAGAGCAGACACCAGACACAGAGGTACACGTATGATCCAATCATTGTTGATAAAACGCACACTATAGGTTTGATTTTTGACTCTCTCAACCAAACGTATTGTCAAATTCATAATGACATCTCACACAGCGCACCTATTCCCAAAACCTCTATCCCAGCAATTCAGACAGCAATAGACTCGTACATAAAGCTGAACAGAAGACATTTTCCAAAAAAGATAATCCCCAAACAGCACATTTTAGAACAACACTGCATTCAATTCATAACGCAACACGGCTTTGGCTTGGGCCTGCTGGGAGAATAAGGAACCAAAAGCTGTCACCAGTCTATTTCAAAAATTGAAAAGCGGACTCAAGGCATCGTAGACAATAAGGAAAAAACTGCCATTTGTAATGAGCACACATTTGCTACAGACATCACCTTCACTGCGCATCGAGACTGCATGCACCGAGAAAACATCCACGGCCCCATAGATAAGTGTATATTGTACAAAATGTGTAAATAGACCTGTGCCATTTAAAGACAGATATGATAATCTGAATTTCATCACTAGCCCGCCGAATTCGGCTGTTGAACGAAAATGTAAAAATTTTGATTACTAATCTTTCAACAATGTTGTCCTCTGGTAAGTAGATACCCACTTTGATTACCTTTATTCTAACTGAGATTTAGTGAATTTCATTATGCCCTTTGGTTGTTACATAACCTTTAATTCAGTGTATATTACTTTAATTACTATGCATAAGACGGCTGTATTTGATCACATGCAGTTAAAAAACTATTCTAGATATCTTCCTTGTGTATGGTAAGTAACCCCGTGCATGGTGTTAGCACAGATAGACTGACTGGCAGCTGACCCCAGTCACGCTGACCTAGCAGCGTACAGCCTGCCGAAGCTAAAAGACCACAGATTTGGCGCTGTGCATAATATGAAAAGTAAATTTTGCCCTCAGGTGAAGATAGACCACTTTAATTCTCAAGCCAACAATTTTCACAGGAGCAATTTATCAAAACAAAACGAACAGGGTGGAAAAAGATGTCCATGCATGTTGCACAAAACTGCAACAGAACAGAACTGTAAAAAAATCCTCTGAATTTAGTTCTCCAAGAAGTTACCCTTGGTCCATCTCTGCCTCTTTTGCCTTCTATTTTCCAGTGAATAAAAGCCCATATTTTTCTCAACAACGTTTATGGAAAATAAGGCCCATATTTCTAAACATTTGCAAGATTGTAATTAGTTCAGGAAAAGTAATAAATGATTAAGAATGAATTTTTAAATTTTTTTTAAAAATCAGGACAAAACTAAAATAAATCACAGCAGTAGACACTACTTGGTGAGAATTTGAGTTATGAAACATTAATTCACTTCATTCAATAAGAGAATGCACCTAAAAGTTATGTTCTTAAATATGAGCAGATTTCCTTATAGCTTTGTATAAACACAGAACTGAGCAAGGCAGACGATTCATCAATTTTTTCCGTGATCAGCCTTTTGGGTACACAGGAAACACTGCCATTTTGAATTTTTAGAGAAGGAAAAAAAAAACGAATTCAGAATAGACAAAAATCTCCAACAATTTTAGAACACTCTGCACACATTTGTAGGCTGTTCTAGAAAACATACAAGAGCTTATAAGAGCGATATTTTAGAAATGAGGTTCAAAAGTATATTTCATGATCAAGGAATTTAAGGAGTGTCCAAGACTTTAAAAAGGCATTTCTATTGTTGTTTCCATTGACAAATAGAGTCCTTTTTGACCAGAAAGTGATGTATAATGCGAATTTATTTGTGAGCCACAATAGAAAAAAAAGACAGCAAGAAATTAATGGTTAGCGGTTAGAGACATTTCGTGAGCCGGCTGTTCACATTACCAAGCCCAATATTTCAAAAAAAGTATTTCATTGCAGTTTCTTTATGTGTGGTATTGGTTGCATGTGCTCAAGAAGTATTTAGTTGAAATCAAAAGCTTATTGTTGAAAAAGGCAAGAAAAGATACACACAGAAGGTGACGTAATTTCTTTCTGGGCTTAGAATATCTTAACAGCTTGTTGACGATTTGCTTTTTGATAAACACTCTGGAAAGGAAAAATTCACAAAAACAGACATGCAAGGAAAAGATGACAGAAGAGAATCTTTTTTTTTTAGAAGAGGCTTTACGGCGCTCGCAACTGCATAAGGTCATATGAGCGCCAGAAGATCAGAGGTGTTACAAGAGAGAGGGTAACAAACATAAAAAAGAAGAAGGGGAGATAAGGACGATAGATGTTTGATAGGAAAGAAGGAGCAAACCACACCAGAGTACCCACCAACGACCCACAGAAGAGAATCTGTTGAAATCTATAACCATAGACGGCTTAGTGTTCAGGACGTTGTGACAGATAATGAAAACAAACAGAAAGTCTTCCCGCTAAACTGATCAACTTGCAGTCTTGAAAAAACTGCAGATTTCTGCCTGTTTTTGTAATGCGCCCACAGCCTATGTTCTTTAATCAGGGCAGAGCACTATACAAATGTCATAGATTATCATCATTATTGACTGCAATAGACAAAAACATCATTGTAAGACCCTCACTGCTTACCTCATGGCTCGTGCTCTGGAATGTACCGGAAAAAGTTGGGCCTGAACTGTCAGGAGATGCAGTTGGGAACGTGCCACTCTGTGAAGAAGTCGAGCTGGGACTAAAAGGCTTGGAGGAGTTGATCGAAGGGTACCTGCGTTTCTTAGCACCAGGCCGGCCCTGTTCATCAGTGTCAGAAGTGCCATCTGAAGAGGCTTCGACCTTTGAGTTGCTGCACAACAAGAGAATAAAATTATTTTTTTTGCATTGGAAAGGGGAGGATTGTGATTTTCAATGTAAATATCTCAGTTTGGACTGGTTTTACAACTGTGCTGTTGCTTTTAATAGATGGTCACCCTCTTCAGATGTCCCATCGTGTCATACTTTTTTTTTTTTTTAGCAAAATGCGATATAGCCACTTTCTTGATTTTTGTTTCAGGTTTAGAAAGTCTTTTACGGAACTTGCAACACAATTAGATCTTATACTTATATCAAAGACAATGGAAGGAGTAGATATTAGGAAGATACATGTTTGATAGGAAAGAAGGAGCAAACAATACCAGAGCACCCCTAATCATCTATCTACTTTCTAGAAACAACTCGTTTAAAAAAACTCTTCCGGATAAAATATATGACTCGGGTGATAAATTAAGGTATTAACTCTTTCTCAAACACACCCTTAAAAAATGAACAACTCAGGTGGGATGTAAGGGATATTAAAGAAGATAGCAATCTTTGAGCAACTGGTGAGCCTAACTTCATAGAAAAACAAAGGCACAAGAAATTCTGGCAAAGATCCTTCTTCTTCTTCTTCTTCGCCACGCACACACACACACACACATATATATATATATACACACACACACATGCACACACCCACACATACACACTGAGATCATGTGCAACTCCATGAGTAAATGCTTGTCTTGTAACTTAAACTTACCAGAACCTCACACTCAACGTCTCCACCTTCTTCACCATGAGCTTGTAGTCATAGTAATACTTGGACTCTCTCTCCTCTGAAAATATGGGAAAATAAAACCATCTAGATACATATATTTGAACCTGTTTTAACGGCCACCAGTCCAAGACAATCACCTGCATAAATGGCCATTTCCCACTTGACAAGCGGATAATTAGAAAACGACAACTAAACGCCTTTGGCCAATAACAGCCATCTTGTTTGACTTGGCAAGGGGGATGCCCGCCGCCGCGTCACCTGATCTTCCCACCACCAGCAGCCCCCCCCCCACCACCTTCCCCTTACTCCCTTCCCTCTTTGAATCTTTCCTATACTGTGGTTCCCCCTAGTATACTGCATTTGCACCTCATAGTATCCATTTGCAAACCTTCCAGTCTCAAATTAGATCTACTCAGTTTGCAGCTGAGGGTCCTATTGAGCCCAGTCTCTTGTAAGTGCTTAATTTCTTGTGCTTACAAAACTTTAAAAGAAACGATCCAGATTGAAACGGTCGATCATTTGCACTGTGTCATTGAACTTTGTTTGAACTAGCTTTTGTACGTAAGCCTACTCCTAGTCTTTTCTTCTTTTCAATTTACGTAGTGTACAGCATCAGAATCAATCTGGGTGAAAGAAGGGTGTTGCACAATCAAAGACAACCGAACCGAACAGTTCTGCAAGTTGCAAAGTAAATAGATCTAATCAGAGTTGGCAAGCTGCTGGCTGCCGTTGAGCGGTTGTGTTGTCACCATGAATGACAACAAAGTGGGAATTCCTCAATGACATCAAACAAGATGGCTGTTACTATAAATATTGGCCAATGGCGTTTAGTTGTCGTTCTCTAATTATCCGCTTGTTCCCACTTGCCCCCCTTGCATTTTTTTTGCATTGTTCTATATTATAATGACACTGTACAAGACATCAATTTGTTTTGTCTACGACAATCACTACTCTCCTCAGCAATGGGTTACTGTGTCAGATGATTGCAATGGAGAATTGCAATGGCTAAAGCTAGTTTCAATAAAAATGAGCCCAATCCTGAAAAATAAAAACATCTCAGTGACTACCAAAATGAAAGTTTTGAAATGCTCTGTATGGTTAACCCTTCTATATGGCTGTGAATGCTAGACAATCACTAAAGACAATGAAAATAAAATAGAAGCAACAAAAATGTGGTTTCTTAGGAGACTGCTGAGAAAATTGTGGAAGGAAAAGAAATCAAATGAGGTAGAGCTTGATAAAGCCCACATGGGACGCTCAATGTTAAAAATAATCAGGAAACGACAAATGCAGTTTTTGGGACACCTGAATACACATAAAAGTCTTGAACATCTAGCTATCACTGGCAAAATTGAAGGCAAACAAGGCAGGGGTAGGCCCAAAGCAATCTACTTAGGGAACCTAAACAAATGGGTAATGGGGAAAGATCAGGGAAACATAGCTTTTTTAAGAGCATCAAAGCAAAGGAATCAGATCTGGCACTGGAGGATGAGTATGTGGATTCTGTTTTTCTTAAGAAATATTCTCCACTGCAAATGTGTTGGTCATAGTCAAACATTGACAGACAAACTATTATTTTCCTTTTTAAAAAAATGTAGGGGCTTTTACGCCCCCAACTGACACAGAAATACTGAGAAACTTGATAAAAATTTCTCCCTACTCAGGTATCAAACTCAGGGGTCTCCTGCGTGCAATAGCAAAGTATCTAATCACTACACCACAGATGCTGATGCTATTATTATTATTATTATTATTTCTATTACTATTATTACAACCAAGACATAAACACAAACCTTTGCCGTACTTCTCCAGAGCTTCAACAATGCTTCTATTTCTTTCACCACATCCATAAAGAAACTTTGCGATGCGCTGGTTTTTTTCATCCTTGATGTTTCTCACGGATTTGTAGAAGCCGTTCTTTTCAATGAAATCGCCGTATAACGGAACTGACATGACTGCATCTGTTGACCACAACAAAAGCACATGAAGACATC